TGTGTTACATGACAAGGCAACTACTTCCCAGCCCCTCGGAAGATGGTTTGATTCGCGCGGGGTGGGGGGGGGGGGGCAGGCCCAGAGCGCCGCTCTTTTTGGCAGCCGAGCCCATCCCTCAGCGCGGTGAGCCTCGGCTGACGACCGACCGACCCCCTGCCCCCCATCCCAGCCCCTCTCCGTGTCTCTCGGAGGGGAAGAAGGCAGCGTTTTCCGGCTACCCCACCGCGATGTGGCGTCCTGGGAGCCGGAGCGATCGTGAACGCGGGTCCAAGCCACTGGTTTGCCCACGGAGCCGGTGTGGAAAGCGAGCGTGGTGTGGGAGGTGTTTTGCTGGAGGGGCTTTTTAATTCCCCCTCATCACTTAAAAGAAAGAGAGAGAAACTTTACTGGCAACAGGACCTGCAGTGTTTTCCACCGGACCTGTGCCTGGTTCCCTCGGTCTCCGTGCTTTCCCGAAAGGGGATGTTGTGAACCACCTTGGGACTTAAATCACCATCAAACGTTTCAATTTTTAATACGACAACATTCTACACTTTGGCTGCAAAAGCAATTATTGTGGCTTGTACATCAGTAATTAGCAGGTCTTTGCTGATGTAAAGAAAGTCCTCATTAGGACATGGAAATACTTTTTGTGCATTCGCCCAAAGGGTTGGTTGAGTTTGTTCAGGTTTTGGGTTTGTTGTTGTTGTTTTCCTGCTTTTTTTAATTTTTATTATGTAAAGGGAAAACAGCTTTTACACTAAATGGGATATTGACTTCCCGTGAACTTCACCAAGTAACACTTGTACTGTAGGTTTTCTCTCAGTGCTCTCATTGACACTCAGGGTAAGACAAAGACTAAAGACTAAAAAATGTAAAGCTAATGTTGGGTGAAACAAAAATACCCAGAAGGTTGGGAATGAGCTAGCCGGTGAGCTCCACGTTACTCTTTTTTTTAATTTTTTTTTAATATTTTTTTTTTAGGTCGGTATATATAGCAAACTATGATCAGACGTTAATAGTTAATATCCCAAGCTTTAGTATATTCATCTTTGGGGGATCCTAAAAAGAGAAATCAAACACAATGGGTTAGGGTAATTAATTTATAAACCCTTTCACTGTGGGAATAAGGGGTTACTTTATTACTTTCTCGAGATAGGCAGTTAAGTCAATTAAGGGAATCTGCCCGTTTCTTACGTTTGAAGCTGGAGAAAAACTACGGGAGACAAGCAAATGTGTTATATATACATATATGCCTCCCTGGTTTTATTGAATGTCTTGGGCCATAAAAGTAGGGCTACAGCATGGTGGTATCTCTAGTGAACTCGCCCCTCAAAATCCGGCGAGTTTATTGCCATCAGTATTCATGAGGCTGGACGTACCCACGAGGAATAGAAATAGTAACGAACATTAAGCTAAAATCTATTACCAGGGCCTTGCGACGCTGAGCCGGGCTCAAGCCGCCTTCCCCAGGAGCCGGCTGCGTGTGGCGGGGTGGGGAGGGGCTGCCGGGGGCTGGTGACAAGGGGG